TGATACAGTGTGCACTGTAACAGTGACTACACTGATTCAGTGTGCACTGGAACAGTGACTGCACTGTTCCAGTGCACACTGTGTCAGTGTAGTCACTGCTTCAGTGCACTCAGTGTCGGTGACGTCAGTGATCAGTAAACTGGAACTGCACATCCCTATTCGCAGCTAAATTATCACCAGCAATTGTTGTATATGTTAAATGTAATTGACTATTGAATGTATTAATTATCAAAGCGGCAGATCGCAAATCATTCAAATCAGTTACCATCGGATTATAAAATTTCCTAAGCTTTTCATCATTATCCAGGCATTTTGTATAACAAGATGGCTGCAAGATTAAAACATTGTAACGTAAATCGAAATTGGAAATTTGAATACCAAACATGTGTCCTTGGGATCGTTATCGAGTCTAACATGCTTTCTGTGAAACAGTTCTTCGGAAATTTATTTAGGTTTCCCCATTATACCTTTTGAAGATTGAGAAACTCGAAAACGCTTTTGGTTTCCGACATCACTCTTCGGAAACCAAAATGGTATTGTCGGATATCTCTTGAGATAGGAAATCAATTTTGCTAGTAATAGCGGTTTACTAAGATACCTTTACGGTTTCCGAGAATGCCATGAGAATATCCGAGACTACTTTTAGAGTGTCAGAATTGATATTTTCGAAAACCAAAGGGTTTTCGGATGCTTGGAAACCAAGAAGGTGTGAGTGTGAGTGTGGATGAAGAGTAGATCCACACTCATACCGACACCCACACAATCCCCACACAAGCACCACACACAGATCCATACGCAAACCCATATACACACTCTCATCCACCCACGCCATAATCACATCCTCACATCTCCACTTCCGTAGTTTCTATGATGCAGATTATATTTATTTTTTACAACCTAATAAGATCTGTACATGATGTACAGAAAAAAGATTAGTAAGATTATAATCACTAATATGTTCACACAGAAAAAGAAACGCGTCGGAAGATGAAGTTTTCAAGGTTAGAATTCATTTTTGTCTCATGATCAGTTAATGGCACTTGTCAGTTTAAAGAGGGATTCTTCCAGCCACAAAAGCACACAGCGGTATAGCAGCAATAGTTAATGCGTGACCAGTGTGATATAGATCTCCTGAATAACTATTATGGTTCAACCCACGTGCGCCTTCAGATAATGCTGCACGTTGAAATAATGCAGCAACAGCTAACAGAAAGGCTGTCAATATATTTAAACGTCCATTAAATATTTTAATTTTTCCACTTGGCAACATTAAAAATACAGAGGCAATCAAGCCAAATGCAACGAATAATATGCCGAGTATCAATAATGCAGCTGCATGTCTCAAACGAAGATAATAATCAGTCGATATACCTGCTGATCTTGTTATTGGTTGTTGATCAGAACTCACTGAAGAAAGTAAACCCTGATTACTCCAACATGTACCGTTTATAGCATAGCACGTATAAAAAGAATTGGTATACCATATAGCTGTTAGTCCTGTTGAATCGTACTCCACATACCATGATCGTGTACCGGCACCAACACACACTGTAAATTTTTTTTAAATTCCACTTTTTGGAGAATCGATCTCAAATAATTTGAAGTATTTTTAAGGTTTTATGATTTATTCGACGAATTTTCAGTATGTCAAAAATGCTTGATTTTCCAATAATTTTAAAAATCGGACACAGGTTTACAGAAAATCAAATAAACAATAGCTGTCTAGTGGCCATTGTTCAGTTGGATATATAAATCAATCGACAACGTGGATCATTCATTTTCTTTTCGGCAGCCGCATCGAGCAGATTAACAATTTATTCTATAGCTATAGTTTGTGTTAGTCCGTACCGCGTTGACGAACGCAATCAATTATTTTTTTAATCACATAGTTTTATCCCTAATAAAAGATAGAAGAAGTATTTTTTAAAAAATCTTTAGTTAATATTCTCTTTATAAAGTATTATTATATTAAAAATACAGTTTTTTATTCTGAGACGTGCTTCTTTTAGTCGAAACGCTTGTTTTATAATATATATAGACTTTTTCGTCACAAATTCTCTTATATCAAAAAATTTTTCAGCTAACATCCTCGAATTATTTTTGCTATGACTTGTGTTTTTTCTTCTTACGTCATGCCGAATTAATATTATCTTTTCATAAAAACAGAAATTGATAGTTTTTTCTAGCATAATGTTGCATTTTTTGTTATTATTTTCAATACTTATGATTAAGGAATTACATTCAATGATTATAATGATGGAATTGATTTTCCATACTTATGATTACGTTACTGTTTTCAAAAATTATGACTCAGGAATTATTTTCAATGCTTATGAGTATGTTATTATTTTCAATGATTATGATTATGTTATTATTTTCAATGATTATGATGATGGAATTATTTTCAATACTTATGATTATGTTATTATTTTCAATGATTATGATTGTGTTATTATTTTCAATGATTATGATTATGATATTATTTTCAATACTTATGGTTATGTTATTATTTTTAATGATTATGATTATATTGTTTGTATTTGTAGGATTATGATTATCATTATTACAACGCTCACTTTGATCAAAACAACATTACTATTGAAAATAGAAATTTGTAGTACATTTTCTATTTTCTAGAAATTTGAAATTCAATTTTGAATTTCATTTTCACTTTTATTCCATATATCGAATAAAAATGAAAATGAAAATAAAATTCCATTTTCCAGTTTTTAAAAAATACTCGAATTGCTAAATAGAATCCGAAATTCTAGGAATGCCCATATGAATTCACTTTCGATTTTCTAATTAGAAAATCAAATTTCTTATTCTTAGCGTTTCGAATACCTTATTTTCAAAGAATTAAAAATTCATCGGTGAATTCATATGGGCATTCCTAGAATATCCTTCATTAAACTCTATAACGTATTTTCTAGTTTACAGTGCAAAGCAAAAGTAAACCGATTGCAGAAAAAATAATAGCAGCAACACATAATTTTTTGTCATGATGTTCGTGATATTCTTTGGTAGCGCTCATCATTTTTTTAGGCTGTAACTAAAATAAAAAGAAAAAAGCTTATCAGCGCAGCTCCTTTGAAGCTGAAATGTGGAACTCACATATATCCTTCCAATTTGTTAGTCTAATGCATTACTTGTCAAATAAAAAATACTTTTTTTTTTCAAATATCTATGAATGCATTAGAATATTGTACAGAATCTGAATCCTTCTGTGCGCGGTTGCTGAGGTCTGTAATGGGGAGTTGTCTGTAATGGTGGCCTATCTGTAATCGAGGGTGTCTGTAATGTGGGGGGATGTCTGTAATGTTCTCTTTCCCGTTGCTATATGTCTGTAATGGGGTGGGGAGGGAAGGAAGGAAGCCGCCAGACCTCGAACTGCAAACTACCACTTACTATTTTCTTCGAAAACATACGTGAGTTCCACAAAAAATACCATTTTTTTTTCTCGCGATTGGAAAAAAACATTGCAACATATTTTGTTTTGTCTAATATTGCATGTACTCAAATACAAAAGAAGTTAACACCAATCACAAAAACCTATACAAGACAGCATGAAGCAGTCAAAACTATCATCACGGATGTTTAGTACTTGACTTGACTTTTCCAGTGAAAGCTTAAACACTTTATCAAGAGTACGCATACAGCTCTCGAATTTATATTTGAATCTGAAAATCTATTCTAAATTATTCCTATTGAGGAATTGTTACAACAAATAGTATAGACCACAGAAGTGATTTCGAATCGAAATATAGGACGAAATGAATAGTTATTGTCGACTTTCTCGCAAATCAGTTATCCTATATGTGACCTCTTTCATAGGCACGTTGCGTTCAGATATTCCGGTTGGTTATCCCGTGAAAAAATCAATGAAAAATTTGAAAAGAAAACGATTCATTTGTCAGGTTCAGATAACGATAACATTTTTTTGTGGAACTCGTGTATATTTTCGAAGAAAATAGTGAGTGTAAGTTTTAAATCGAGGTTTCCGGCTCCTCCTCCTCCTCCCCCCCCTAGACCCCTACCATTACAGACAGACCATAGCAACGGGAAAGAGAACATTACAGACCTTAGCAATCGGAGTCAAAGGTAAAAAGTTAAAGGTCAATGGTCATGGAGTACATTTCCCTAGCAACGGAGACACTAAGAACTGACTGCTCTCCTATGGCTTCTTAGCAACGATATGGCGGAAAACCATATATTACTAGATATGTTTCCATGGCACCAAGCTCCGCCATTACAGACTGTTACAAACAAATTAATTAATTAGTTAATTAACAAAATAGTGAATAAAATACTAATTAATTGACAAGTAACGCGTCGGCTCATTGAGCCTCGCTCAACTCAATCCTGAA